TTAAGACATCAGCTGTCCAGGAACATGGTGATTCTAAAATTGTCCTAATAGGAATCACCTGCACCTTTCATGAAATACAGATTCCCAGGTCCTGGCCCCACGCTAATGCATCTGAATTTCCTGGGAAGGAATCTGAGAATCTGTATTTCACAGCAGATGGGTCCCTTTTTTAGGTTAGTTCATAAAATGCTGACATAGATATCCCCCAAATAATAATATGATGATGATGACCCCTCAAATAACGTGTACAGGATTGAACTGACACATAGGGTAGGGTTTCCCCAGAAATGTAACTTCCACACACAGAAGCAGCCCTGGACAAGGGTCCCTTTAGCATCACGCCGTGACCAACTGGGCTTGCCAGCCCGGACAGCTGCACAGGAAGGGGCACAGAAAGAATCCAAAATTGGCAGGTAATCAAAAGGGCTAAATGTAGAAAGGGCCCCAACTCTGGCCTTAGCTGTCTCCCACAAAGGCAGCCGCCCTTACAGTATGTCTCTTATGTACAGAAAAAAATTAAGGAAGAAAGAGAAAAGAGTTAAGAGACAATGAAGAAATAGAGGTTTACAAACATCCTAGCAAGGTCGACAGGGCTGACCTACTGAACGAAGCTTCCCTTTATTAGAGTCCACGAAGGGTGCTTGGACAAGCCGGTCACCAGCTCATTAACGAACATAAATGTCTGTGGTCCACATGGTAAATCATCAAAACCCACTGAGTTATGAAAAACACATACTTGGGGAATATTATAAATGAGCCAAAAAAGAGGAAAAGTCACCCCTTGCGCTTGCTTACTTCTTTGTTTTTGATTATTACAAATTTCGGGGAGAAGGTGAGAGGACACATCCAGCGAAGGGAAAATCTAGCCAATTTCTGTGTGTGCTGGACTAACTCTAGCAGAAGCTGTGCTTCCCTTCCTTCCAGAATCAACACCAGCTTAAGCTAATTTTCAGCATTGATTCTTTGGTCAAGCATGGAACAATTTGATTCAGGATAAATCAAAGGTCCAAGAGGGGCAGCGACTAGTTTCTACGTCACACTATCTGCCAGCATGCGTTCATAAAATTGCTAGAGTCTGAGAGATGACCTAGGCCCCTCCCTTTACTGCAATGGCAAAGAAACCGAGGCCCAGAAAACACAAGGAATTTTCCCCAAGTTGCACAAGGTAGTGGCAATACGAGGCTAGGACTCATGTCTCTAGGCCGGTCATTTTTGTGATGATTCACAGAGTGAAGGTATGATGAAGAGCCCAGCAGAGTGGATGCCTGATGGGGACATTCAACAGCTGTGTCACTTCTCTCTAACAGAAATCACCATAGCATGCTTGACGGTGACCTTGGACGTTGGGCATAATCCCATCCAACTAGTCATTTTGCAGAGGGGGAAAAAACAGAGACCCATAGAAAACCAATTTGTCCACAACCACGCAACTAGACGCTACTAGACGGTGGCACCTGCCATCGTGGAACTCACAACTCCTGACCCCAAGTCTCTCTTTCCATTCACTATACCACACTGCTCCCCTGCCACCATTAACAGAGTTTAATACTAATACACGAGGACACTCTATACCTCACCTAGGGAACCTGTTCTGGAATTTTATTTCAATCATTCAACTGCAATCAAAAATGTCCCCAAACTTTCTGGAACAACCACGTTACATAGCATTTCTGAATTTCTGACCACCTCACTTCCACATCACCAGCCAGAAATCTTGAACTATTCACCTGCCTAGATACAAATGGGTAACTTGGAAATGTGGAGAGGCAGAAGGTTCTGCAAACTGGGCTTCAGGATTTTCTGATGGAAATCTGATGAAGACTCAGATAAGGAAAGGACTCCACTCATGTGAAACTGAGAATTTGGAATCAGCTAAAACTGACTTTGGTGTGAATCTGTCCTTCCCTTCTCTGAGCGCGGTTTTCACATCTATAAAATGGAGATAAGTTATTCATAGGGGTTACACCGAAGAGGACAGAAATTAATTTATATACAAAAGAGGATGACAGAGCATTCCTAGAAAGACATCAGGTGCTCCTCCTTTCTTGCCTGGGGGCCGTCTCTGTCACTCTCATGCAATCCCATACTCAAGAACCTATGCCCCAAACCGGGAGGTAATAAATACTACCTAATTGAAACAATAACAAAATCAATATCAGAAAAACTACCATGCAAAGATTCTTTTTTTTTTTTCATGCAAAGATCCTTCACTGTTTTTCAAAGCAATTATCCAGCAAAGATAGCTGTTCAATGGAAGATAAACTCCCATTGATGTCACCTGACACCAGATTCTTTTGGCCTTTAGAAGACAAAAGTGGAATTTTGTTTTTTCACCAAGAATTTAACATCCCAAAAAGGTATGTGAAACAAGTTAAACTACTTGCATATTTCCACTTACACAACGCACATACATAGCACATCAGCTTTTATTTTTTCCAGATACTAGGAGACAAGGCTTGGTATATATCCCTGTGGGAGAATCAACAGAAAACTGTCTCTCTTCTTAATCTATCAGTGCCCTGTAATCCAGACCATATGATCAATAAACTACATAAAAATTAAATCATACTGACAGTCTTAGGCAAAAAGTGAACTAAGGAGAAATGATTTTTTTTTTTAGGGCTGTGGTGTGTGGATTATTAAAATCACATGTTTGTGCTATTAATTTTTCTTCTGGAAGCCAAATAGACTTCTCTTGCCCCAATACCTCAAGAAAATATTTACCCCTTAGAAACAGATTTTCCCATGAAAGGTGTCAGAGAGGCATTTAATTAGTGAGTATTATAATTTGGCCTGTGCTTAGAGGAGACATGGATCAATAAATCACTTTGAAAATAACACTGTTGCTTTAATGGCAAGACACACCTCCCTAAAATCAGGCAGCTTTGTGCTTTTTATGATAAAATACACGCTCCTGATACCCTCCTGCTTTTATGAGGTAAACAAAATCATTTGAAGTAAATGCTTCACATGAGCAGTGGGAATGAATAAATATAATAAACAGATGGGTTTAGAATATTAGCTTAAGGGGACACGGGGACAGCAGAGGCAGATGTAGGCACATGTCTCTACTACTTCCAATGCACAGTACAGAGTATCTTAAGGTTTCTACCTCCCCTGCTGAACTACAGCTGAGGGGTGTGTCTTTTTACAAACTCCTTTACACTGTTTTTCTTTAATAAAAATACACCACGTCTTGGGACGACCTCCTGAAATCACAAGAGTGGAAGAGAAATTGTACAAAGGCTGTCAAGCGTGCTGTCGCTCTGCTTAGGGTGCCCAGCCCCAGCTGACCAGAAAGAGCCTTACCCTACTACCAACAAAACCCGCGGGGTAAACACTGGGAAGGCCCGGGCCAGTTTACAGCAAACAGCTTCAAGTGTTTAGTGCTTCCACATAATCCCCTGGGACCAGGGAGGGGCTTTTAAAAATTCAATAGCTTGGTTACAAGACTTTAGGTAGTAATCTGTGGCCACTGGGCTTGATAATAAACCAGCTGCCTTCAGGACGGGAGGCCCCCCAGTGACAATTCTTTACATAGCATCTTAATGTTGAATTGATACTAAGAGAGGTGGAACAGGACGGCAGTGACCTTTCTTCCCTGCTCAGAGCACAATTTTACCCGTAGCTGTCTCTCCTCATCTGAAGGGTGGTCATTCTTACCCTTATAAACTCTAAGAATCCCCTCTTTCTTCCATTTCCAAAACTGACTACGGAGGGCCCATAAGACACTGCTACAAATAGAGTCACCAACACCTGGGGCATCATTACTCCAGCCTAAGGCGTCTCTGGCTGGCACAATCTGCATTTTCAAAGGGGACTTTAGTCTCCACGCAGGAGTTCTATTTTAAGGGAACTGAATTCGGAACACAGATGTTTCTTCAGTTAGCAGAGTTGGCAGAACAGCCCCTGGACCAAATCCGAGTTCTTAATGCAGGAAGGGGCCTCGGGGATCATCTACTCCAACCCACTCACTCGACTGCCGAGGAAACTGAGGCCAGGGAGGCAGTTAGGTGGCACACCCACCAAGTGGCAGAGGGGAGTGTTCTGATGACAAGTACTCTGAACTTTCCATTACACCATGATTCACTTTCTCAAAAAAAAAAAAAAATATATATATCCTTACGCTGACTTCAACCTTGGAACTCCTGTACACGAGTGTCAATAGCCTTCTCCCTCCCCCTGCCGTGTTCGTAAATCCTCCTCACCCTCCCACTCCGAGTCCTTTCACTCCCACCGCCCTCCTAGCCTGTTGCTTCCAACCGCTTTGGAAAACAGAAGTGGGCCCGCGCCTGCCTCAACTTTCTGGAGTGCAGTTCAATGGTGGTCCCCGAACACTATCGTGGCTGGCTTCCCCAGCAGCGCCTCGGAGCGCTCACCGGTGAAAGGGACTCCTCGCCCCTGCGGCACTGAGTCAGGACGAGGGCTAGTTGAAACTGATGCCCAGAAACTGCGAGCCACCAGGCACACAGTAGGCCCTCAGAAAGCCACCGCTGAATCCGTGCCCAGCACCAAGCCCGGGGAGAGCGCCTTCAGGAGGGAAGGTGCCAGTCTGGGCAGGCCAGGCAGCCAGGGCGGAAGAGTCGGGTGTTTACATACAGCCAGGGGGAGAGAGCTCGGCTGCAAGCAGGAGCCTGGCTCTCCGGGCGATCCATTAGACTTGGATGGAGGGCGACCAGCTCTACGCTGGCTCTAGATCACGGTTTAACCAACTCCCCCACCCCCGCACCCCCTGCTAAAAGAGCGAACCCACACCTTCCTTGGGATCCTGCCCGGGCTTCCAACTGGAGATGACTTTTACAGCTGCCCGCGAACGCACAAGCACGCCCAACACACTAATCTACAGGCCGGGAAGTCGGTGGGACCCGGGAGGGCGGGGGCCCCGGGCCGGGGCGGCGCGCGGGCTACCCGGGCCGGCGGCCGGGGCCCCGGAGCTGACAGCGCGGCGCGGACGCGCGCCGGGGGCCGGAGAGGCCGAGGGGCCGCGGGGCTGGGCTCACCCATGAAGAGGCAGAAGAGGTCGAGGCAGATGAGCAGCGCCCGCTTGCTGCCGCTCTTCCGCGGGTTGTTGTTGAGCGCCGGGCTGCCGCCGTTCTTGCTCTCCGGGACGATCGCCTTGTCGTATTTGTAGCTTTGCATGGCGCTGGCAGCGGCGCGAGCCTCCCGCCCCGCGAAGACGCCCCGCGCGACAGCCGAGCCACACACCCAGGCGCTACGGTCGCCTCCTGGCCCAGGCTGCTCTACAGAGCGGCGGGTCGGCCCGGGCTCCGGGCGCGGCGAGGAGAATGCAGCCCCGGCTGCCTGCTTCCAGCTGCAGACGGCGCTTTCTGCTCCCCCTGCGCGCCTCTGCTCGCCTCGCTCGAAAGTCCACGGGGAAGAGAGCCAAATCCCGAGCAGAAACTTCTAAACTTCTGCAGAGCCGCGCTTGCTCGGGACGCGCTGGGCTGGCGCGCGTCTGTGTGCGCGAGCGAGCGGGCAGCGCGGGCGCCCGGCCACCTTCCTCCGCGGCTGGTGACTTAATGAATGGGAGCTGCGCAGAGTCCAGCGACTGGCGAGCGCCGGCCCCGACTCCAACTTTGCCTCCTCCTCCTCCGCCGCCTCCTCCTTCTCCTCCTTCTCCGGTTGCTGCTGCCGCGGCGGCTGCTGCTGTGATCGCCCGGGTTTGTCTTCTGCACTTTTATTTCACGAGATCCTTTCAAAAGAGAGAGGGAGAGAGAGGGCCCTCCTTACTAGGCTCGCGGGGCTTCCGAAAGCACAGCCCCTTCCTTCAGCTGCCTAAAACGTAGGATAATTAAGGCCACATTTTTCCCCACCCCCTTTAAAAAAAAAAAAATCCTGAAAGGAAAACTTTTTCAAACCAGAGGATCAGGGAGCCCCTAGCGTTCTGAAACACCAAATTCTCACAAAACGAAAAGCAAGTAAAGAGAAACATTTTCTCGCTGGCCTGGGGTCTGGCAAAAGTTGGGGCTGTACAGCTAAAACGCATTCGCTGTCCTCTACCAATTTGGGGCTTTCGGGGCTTTATCGTGACTTTAATTGTATGATCCAATTTTCCAGGAAAACTGCTTTTCAAGATGTGAAGGCCAAGCCCCGGGTACTATGCTAGCTTCTCAGGATACTAAAATAAAAAACACGGCACAACTCGGGAACCACATCCTAGCATTTGAATCCTAGATGTCTCGCTGTGCCTCGGTTTCCCCGTTTGTAAACTAGAAATAATAACCTTTTCTTCCAAATGGGAAGATTTAGTTGTTTAATCCAGGTAAGCTCCTGGAACCGTGTCCAGCCCACAGCCAGCGCTGCTATTACCTTATTCTTTAATCAGACCTGCAGCCTGTCTGCAGGTCTCCAGGTACCTGGACCACTATGGAGAATTCCAGAGCAGCAAGAATATCCTCCCGCCTCAGTCTCGAGCAATCTAAAGTGTTCCCTTTAGAGGCGGACATATTATTTTTAATTGTTTATAAGTTCATCTTTCTTCCAGATAGAGAATAAACACTTCAGGGTAAGGGCCTTCCCTCTGTCATTACCTGGCATGGTGCTGGGCACACACTGAACAGTCAATGGAGTCTTCCAAATGTGTGTTTCTACAACTGGAAATAGTTGTAGCTTTGTGACATGGTGTATGAATGGTCTTCTTTTTTTTTTTCTGAGGGTCTCACTCTGTCACCCTGCAGGGAGTGCTGTGGCATCATTGTAGTTCACAGCAACCTCAAACTCTTGGGCTCAAGTGGTCCTCTTGCCTCGGCCTCCCCTATAGCTGGGACTACAGGCCCCCGCCACAAGGCCTGGCTATTTCTACTTTTAGCAGAGAAGGGTTGTACTGTTGCTCAGGCTGGTCTTGAACTCCTGAACTCAAGCATTCCACCGGTATTGGCCTCCCAGGGTGCTAGGATTACGTGCATGTGAATGGTTTTCTTTCTTACATTCACTTGTTATGGGGTCCGATAACCCTAAATGCAGCTGTTGTAATTACTGGCTCTTCCTTGAGCAGTCCTTTCACACCCCACAGCCCTGCCCTCCTGTGCTCCCTGCTACAATACACACCCTTCTCTTCTCTAGCCAGCAAACCGCTCTTGCTTTGGTGTCCTCTGAAGTGTCACCTCCTCTGAGAGCCCCTTCTTGACCCCTGCACAAAATTAACTTCGCCCTCAACCCTTTGTTTATCCTGTAACACTTATCTCCGTCTGATTTGGTGTTACAGTTAGTAAAAACTAGTCAGCTGTATAGATAAGCAGCTCCCCAAGCATCCCTTGTGCCTAGTGTAAGCTTTGGTGTTTGCTGGATTGAGCTCAAGTTAGGACTGATTAGTAAGTGGGGCTGGTAAACTGTTGTCTCTCGGAAGCAAGAGGAACTGAATCTCCAAAGCTGCTTTGGAGCTGAACCGTCCGGCTGCCAATCAGACACTCTCCATTCAAATGGCAGCAGATAAAAACCAAGGTAACTAAGAAGACAGATTCTTCAGGTCGATTTTCAGTGAGAAATACTTTCTCAGCTTCATAATTATTTACATTCTAAACAGAATTCAGGGTCCTCGTATTTTTTCCTTATCTACTCAACCCTCTTTGTAATTACGATCATCCTTGAAATTCTGAGTCCCCAAACCATGCCTTTGGAATCCCAACCTGAAAATTACTGCAAGCTTTCTCCAAACTTTAGCCCTCTCTGATCTCTCCCTCCTTTGAGCTTCCAAAGCCCTTTGGTATCTGTGCCACTCAGGTAGCCACTTATATTTCCCCATAGACTACCCTGTCTTATTTCATTTTTCACAAGTGGTCATAATTTGTCTCTCAAAGATGATTCGTTCCACGAGGGAAGAAGCTTGACTCTGAGGCCTTAAGAAATAGTACTGAGATTCAAAGCCAAAGAGAGAAACAGGGATTAAGTACATGTTATAGTTGCCTCTATTATGTTTGCTTCCTGTCTGCTTTCCTTATCTGTGAAATGACTTTTATTAATTTAAGAATAATTTTCTTTTTTTGCAGTTTTGGCCGGGGCCAGGTTTGAACTCACCACCTCTGGCATATGGGGCTGGCGCCCTCCTCCTTTGAGCCACAGTATTTTTAAAAATCAGACTTTTACCATAGTTAAATGATGTCATAACTCAGCAGTCACTGTTGGTCTTTTTAAAGTTTACTGGGTACGATTGTTACTTTAGCTGGCACTAGATTGAGTCCTAGAAACCAACTTTTTTCTTTAAGATTCTCTGGATTAAACTTAACTACCTATTAAGAGGGATAAAAACGTGCTATTCCAAAAGCAGATAAAAGAGAAAGCCCATGGATGTTTAAATAAGAATTTTATATTTCCATTTATAAGACTCTGTGGGCTATTTTTTTCATAACTAAAAGATCATAGTGTTAATTGGTGCCTATACTTCAATGCAAACAAGTATTATATTTGGATAACTCTTCAAAGGAACAGAACACCACAAATACTTGTTAAAATGGACTTGAACCAGTCATAAAATACCGTGTCAATAACATATTTTAGATAATAGGAAGTAAAACTCCCTAACCAGATACGTAAATTTTAAGGCCTCTTGGTTTTAATTGCTAACGTTGAACAATCTTACCAGCAAATAAAATGCAATGACACCCACTTGAGAGCTTGAAATGGTGTCATTTCAAAGTAATTAAGTAATTAGAATGTCCGGTAAACATACTTTACGAAAATTCACACGTTAAAATGCTATTCAGTGGGTTAAACTAGTTTGTATAAAAACTACACCATCAGCAGGGATAAACGCCTTTTTAAGATTAACTTATTATGTGTGACAACAACAGAACATCATTCTTAAATAACTGATACCTCCCAAGAGACTGAAATGGCCTTCGTTTCTAAGATATCTTGTTACCTCATAATTTTCTTTCTCTCTCTTTTTAACTCCTAGCCTTTAATAATTAATCATTTTCATTTTTTAAAAGGTATGACTTGGCTCTGGAAATATTCAAGGGGAAAGTAGCTGAGTCCCTTTATATAAAATTTCTTAATCCATTGGAATTAACTTAGGAAGATACAGAAGTTTCCACTAAGGAATACCCATTTATCAATGTTGTGCAACGCTGTTGCATTTATAAACCACCTCTGTTTTTTTTTTTTCTTTTTGAGACAGAGCCTCAAGCTGTCCTCCTGGGTAGAGTGCCATGGCATCACAGCTCACAGCAACCTCCAACTCCTGGGCTCAAGCGAGTCTCCTGCCTCCGCCTCCCAAGTGGCAGGGACCACAGATATGCACTGGCTATTTTTTGGTTGCAGCCGTCATAGTTGTTTGTCTGGCCCAGGCTGGATTCAAACCTGCCACCTTAGGTGTATGTGGCTATTGCCTTAGCCACTTGTGCCACAGGCGCCGAGCCCCACCTCTGGTTTTTAACAAGATGGCTGGCTTAGTCCTACGAATGTTGGATTTGATATTGTGTATAGTTTCACAGGACAGAATGGAGCCATCCACAGTAACACTCCTGAGAAAAGGCAGGAAGGAATAGGGGGATTTGAGATCTGAAAATCTTGGCTCTGCTGTTTGACCTCAGGCAACCGGAGTAACCTCTCTGAACCTCAGTTTCCTCAAATTCTACATCTGGCTGACATTTTTCTCGAGTTATGGAGAGAATTTAAAAATTACAAAATGAAATAATACATTTAAAAATACCTGGTACACTATAGGCAGGCAATAAATATTAGTAGAATGTCAATATTTTAAATGAATTTTATTTCTACAATGTATTTAAGTTTAATACAGCTATGCATAAAGCATTTATCAAGTACCAACTCCGAACATACCATTTGATGGTAGACTGCCTTCTCGAAATGAAATAACGCCTTCAGCTTCTCTATTCCTAACTATCTTTTAAAAAAGTTCAATTTCCTCAGGTTTCCAAAGGTAGTAAATCAAAATGCTTATTTTCTTGGACAATTTACTTATATATTGTTTTCTTCAGGAAAATTGTGAAATCCAAGGAAAGCTATTTGTGTAAGCTAAACATCTTGTACAGTGAGAGTATTTTCATTGTAAAAGCACTTTCACATCTATTATCTTAGTTTATCCTCCCAGCTCTCTGAGGTAGGTGGGGTTGCTATCATTAGTCCCATTTTATGGATGAGAACACTGAGGCAAGCCCATTTAACTAGACATAACTGGCTTTCTGCATAGGTCAAATGGAAATGATTCTAACATTAGCTCATGCAGTGTAATGTAACGTGTGTAATGTTTTACAGTTTACAATACTTATATTACAGTTGTGCCCTTTAAGTCATACCCTTTACAGTGTCTAATGCCATTTACATTCACTGATCTCATTTCCAAGTAGGTTACATAGAACATTATTATCCTTGTTTTAGAAATAAAGAACCTGAATCTTGGAGCGATAAGAGATTTGCTTAAGGTTGAAGGAGATTCCTGAATCATCACTATAATCCAGGTCTGTTAATTTCTAACCTATGGGAAGATTCCATTCTATACCTCACTAAGTCTCACTCTCAAAGGTGCACAGAAATTTCTGCTTCTCAACAGTGATTTCACCGAGTGACTTAGAGGAACTGTAGAATCAGCCTCACGTCTTTAGTAAAGAGACAGAGGAGAAGTTTTGTTTCAATTTGTTGCTTCTTACAGGCTTGGAAGGGAACGACATTGCTGGCCCTTGTGTCTCTGAAACAGGAGGTTTGGATTTATAATTTGTCCAGCAGTTTTTTTGTTACAAAAA